GTGTGCTGTGAAATCTTCAAGACTCCTGTTATTTTATCATGTAGTCACAGTGTCTGTAAAGAGTGTCTTCAACAGTTCTGGAGAGCCAAGAAAACTCTGGAGTGTCCCGTCTGCAGGAGAAGATCCTCAAGAGAAGATCCTCCATGTAATCTAGTATTAAAAAACCTGTCTGAGTCATTCCTGAAGCAGAGGAATGAGGCTCGTTCATCAGGATCTGAGGAGATCTGCCGTTTACACAGTGAGAAACTCAAACTCTTCTGTCTGGAGGACAAACAGCCGGTGTGTTTAGTGTGCAGAGATTCACAGAAACACATCAATCACACATTCAGACCCATCAGTGAAGCGGTTTCATCATGTAAGGTAAGACAAATGAGTATTTCAACTTCATGCTGTTGAAAAGTCCTATTTAAGTGTGTATTTGATTAGTGATCTGAACCCCATTATCAATGCAGTTTCACAAAATTGGGTAAACTAGTAACTATGGTGGCAAATAAAGACACAGGCCCAGTTGGTATTGAATAACTATTTTGCTTCAATAAATAACATTTCAATTTACAAACTGTGATTTGTCTTCACTCAGGTTGCCTTTGTTTTATGGCAGGTTATAATTTCTGAATTAATTTACTATGAGATTCACACAAAAACAGAAGTAATCAGGATTTACAGGACTTTTGCACTGCATTATATGACCATATCACTGTATTGTCTTCTCTTCTTTTTTCACTGCAATCTGGTGTTTAATGTATTGTTGTTTAACTCTAGGAGGAGCTCAATACAGCACTGAAATCATTACAAGAGAAACTAAAACGCAATGAAACAATGAACAGAGAGTTTGATGAAACAGTTCAACACATCAAGGTGAGGAAACAGAATCCAGAGTCATCTTCATTACAGCTGTAGGATCACTATACACAATTATGATCTGATATATTTAATATAATGGACTCCAGTTGATTATTTTTGTAAATGACGAGCATCAATCTGCTTCTGGATCCGTTATATGTCTTTATCTGAGTTTATCTCAGATCTGAATGATGTAATTGTGTTGATGTGTGTTGATGGAGACGATTGAAGTGAATGTGGTTTGATTTCAGTCTCAAGCTGAGCACACAGAGCGTCAGATTAAACAGCAGTTTGAGAAGCTTCATCAATTTCTCAGAGATGAAGAAGACGCTACAATCACTGCACTGAGGGAGGAAGAGGAGCAGAAGAAGCAGATGATGAAGGAGAAGCTGGAGGAGATGAACAGACACATCTCAGCTCTTTCACACACAATCAAAGACACGGAGGAGATGATGAAAGCCAGTGACGTCTGCTTTCTGAAGGTCTGATTTCAGATCATTGATTGATTGATTGAGTTGTTGATGATCAATGGTGTGTTTGTTCTGCAGGAGTTTCCAGTCACGATGGAAAGGTGAGTGATCTGCTGCTGTCTCTGCTCTCTCTGCTTCTGATCCAAAGCCACTGCAGTTCTGATCCTGAATGTTCTTCCAGAGTCCAGATCTCATCACAGCCGGATCCACAGACACCTTCTGGAGCTTTGATCCATGTGCCGCGTTACTTGGGCAACCTGCCCTTCAGAGTCTGGAAGAAGATGCAGGACATCGTCCAAAACAGTGAGTCTGATTGCAGAAGATCTGAGCTCGCATACACACTGGAAATGATGCAATATTGACAGATTTCAGCATTATGTGTGAA